GACTAATAAAGTATTAATACTTTCATCTTAAGTTTAAACTTAGCTTTAATTGCTGGATCCTGGATTTATCTTAATGGAACCTCACCTTCTGCGATAAACTTGTTTGTATTTCCTGGGCTCTCACATTTCCACACATTGGTGAGTTTTACAGAACTCTGATCTAAGTTTGACTTCCTGTATTTGTAATTGCTGGCAGAGGATAGTGGGTTTATATTAGTTGCAGAACCAAGAGAGGCTGAATTATGAAGTTCCATATTGTAAACAATAAGGAAAGAAAAAATGAATGCCCAAACTTAATAAAATGATCATAGAAAAATAAAGTTTTTAAAAAAATTAAAATATAGTAAGAAAAAAACTGAAGCTAATTAAAAAATGTTCTCCCCCTCTGTAAATATACATGTGCATGTTTGTGCATGTGTGTGTGTATATATATATGTGTGTGTGTGTACACACAAACATACATGCACATATGCACACATAAATACATATCATTTTTTTCTCCAGATTTTCTCCTATCAAATGCTACTGGGAATAAAAAAAACATAATCTTGGAGAAGAGTATAAAGCAAAAGTCTTCATTATTTTGAACAGTTCCACTGATTTCCATGTGTATTGTAAAAAGTTAGGGACTCTAGTAAGAATCTATTTTCCCAGATGATATTTTCTTGAAATCTTAAATTCATTGTGGGACATCATGAACAAATCAGATTCAAGGATACCACTCAATTCCAAACTTGGGTAAATAATTGACATATAATAAAGCAGAAGAAAGAAAAACAGTATTTGTCTTTTTCTCCTAAAATCTTTCTGTATAAATAGGAAAGGAAATATCAAGAAGGTTTACTCAAGCAGACCAATCCTGGTCCTTAGACAACATCAATATTGAAACTAAAAAACATATAATCTAAAAAGCAAATAGAATGCCCTTCCCTCATAGCTATGAGAGTTGCCCAATGATGTAAAAACCCTGTATGTTGAGATACTGTTGCTTTGCTTCCAGTCTAACAAGGATTGAATCACTCGAGCTCAACTTCATAAGAAATTAGTATTAGTAATGAATATACCATAAATCTGAATGTATTGCCAGTGTGTAAGATTAAAGAAAATTGATTTAAATTTATCTTTGCACTAGCATAAAATATTGGCACAATAACAAAGGTATGTTTCAATACTAAATTCATTACTGTACTAGTTACATTGTTCCAATTTGGTAAATACAGATAGTCCTTGACTTAAGACCATAGTTGAGCCCAAAATTTCTGTTGCTAAGCGAAACAGATTTTAAATGAATTTTGCCCCACTTTATGATTTCTTCCCATAGTTGTTAAGTGAATCACTGCAGTTGTAAACTAGTACACTGTTGTTAAGTGAATCTGGCTTCTCCATTGACTTAGCTTGTCAGAAGGTCGCAAAAGGTGAGCATGTGACTCCAGGACACTGCAAGCATCATAAATGTGAGTCAGTTACCCACTGCCTGAATTTTGATCAAATGACCAGAGTGCTGCAATGGTTGTTAAGTGTGAAAAATTGTCATAATTCATTTTTCAGTGCTGGTCACTAAATGAATTGTTTTAAATCAAGAACGATCTGTACATAAACATGCATACTCTATTTATTTGTCTAGAGTACCCGGATTTTCTCAGTAATGGAGCAACATGATTTTCTTTTTTCCTTGTATATAGAAATGTTACTGAAGTATTCATATTACTATACCAAGTATCAATATAGATTGTACTCCGAAACGTTAACCAAATATATATTATTTATGAAAAAGACTGCTTATGCATACATGCTATTGTGTTTCAAGATGACATTTTTCATAATAAATGTACTTGAAATAAAAACAAACTGTGATAACTTAAAAGAATTTAGTGTTCTTAATCTAGCCCTTAACTACTACTATCTTCAAAAACTTAACTTAAAAGAAATGCATATACTCCAGACTGCTCTATCCTGATTATTTTCAGAAATTATCTTTTTCAAGCAGCTAACAGTGAGAACCAAAAAACAATACAAGATGTAATAGGTATTTTATGCCCCTTTTATCAATATAATTCCAAAAGTAGAAAGCAGAATTATTGATAGCATTATTCAAATGACAATCCAGTATTTTCTAAGTAGTAGCAGATTGAGAGGTTTCAGAGGTAGTTTTTAGCTTAGGAAATCTAATCCACATAAAATAACATAAGCATAGATAAGATATAGGTTTGCAATAGTGGCGAATATCTGTAGCTCGGGTGTAGGATGAGGGTGAAGGTTCATTCTCCAAGCTTGTGGGTTGATTTCCAAACGTTTCGTTACCAGGCTAGGGAAGATCTAAACACCGTTGAAGATGTTGCCTAGCCTGGTAACGAAATGTTCGGAAACCAACCCACAAGCTTGGAGAACGAACCTTCACCCTCAAGATATAGGTTTAATTATATATTAAACTAGTAAAATGTATATCAGAAAGTATGAATTGTGTCATCTATCTTGTTCTGTACATTCATATGTTGGCAATAGTTGCTAGTTATGAAAGAACCACGGATGGGCTTGAGAAAAACTTCTAAATGAGTGCAATCTTGAAAGAAAAATTATTTTCCTTAAGTGATATGAACAGATGGATGGAAACAAGAATATACAAAGAGTGATTGGCCACTCAGTTTAAGCATTAACCTACACACAAGCACATAGCAAAGAAATGCAACTAAAAAGCATGAGTAATCTGACTGTTCATTATGAAAGAAACAGTGATGATGAGCGATTCTGAATTTGAGACATGGCATTTTAGGTAATATCAGAAATGAATCTTCAGGGGGAAAAATAAATAAAGGAGAAGAGGCAATGTGAAAGGAGAAATGATTGATGAATGTATTTACTCAATGTATTTATATGTAAGGAATGCCCATGGTGACATTAGAAATGTGCTTGTTGGAGACATAAAGATACATATAATTCTGCATGTAGACAATATAATAGGTTGTTGTCTAAGAACTCATATAATTTTTAGCAAGTATTAGACTGTATGATAGAGTAAGGAATATGTACTTGAAAATAAAGGTACTAAAGGCAAAAATAGTTTGGTCTGAAAGAGACAACAGAATTCAGTATTGCAAGTTATACATAAATGACAAAAAATTAGAGGAAATAGATAAATGTGCTTGTCTTAGTTGAATTTTGACATCACAAAATGAATGCAAAAAATTTAAGCTATGCAAATGCTGCTAGAAATGTAGTTGATATTACATAGTCTATGGCAGTGATGAGAATCTTTTAGAGACCGAGTGCCCAAACCGCAACCCAAAACCCACTTATTTATCGCAAAGTGACGCATAAGCATTGTGGTGCCCTTGAGGGCCGGGTGGGCGTGGCCCGCTGGGTGGGCATGGCTGCAGTGGTCATATTGCTCGTGGGGGGATGCCTGTGTGGGCCGGGCATGGTTGGGGGAGATCCAGGGGGTCTCAGGAGGGGGGGCAGTGGGCAGAAGGCTCGTCCTGTAGGGTGAGGCAGGGGGCAGGATGGGGGTGCCATTGCTGTGGGCAAGGCAAGGGGAGGCAGGGGCCAGGGCGGCGGCTGCCTGGCACCATTGGCATGTGATGCAGACCGCCAGATGCGCCTATTTCATCCCATCTGTTTTTGCTTGCGGTTGGAGAGCAGGTCACTGCTGGTCATCTCCTCAGCCTCCTGCAGATCTTGCCCTTGGCCCGCGCGTGGAGCCTGTTCCTCTTGCGCACCTGATGCACCTTGGCCCCACCTTGGGCCGCTGCCGCCCAGAGCAACAGCTCCACCCAGCACAAAGGAGTTGAAGCGGCCGGCTAGCAAGCTCGAGTAGAGGTGGTACAGCACACCCAGGGCCAGCAGGCAAAACGCCACCCTGAATGGAGAAAGCCGGATCCCCATCAGCGCCATGGCCCCCCAGTCCCAGCTAGGATTGCATACCTTCCTATCTCTGCTGGGCCTGGTCGGCCATGATGCCGATGGTGATCCAGCTTTCCCCGCTCAGGGTGGCCTTTTGCCTGCTGGTCCTGGGCGTGCTCTGCCATCTCTATTCAGGGCTTCCTAGCCGACCGCTTTGCTTCCTTCGTGCTGGGCAGGCCTGCAGCTCTGGGCAGTGACCTAGTGGACCTGTGCGAGCAGCTGGCAGCCGCGGTAAGTACTGAGGTGCGCAAGGGGAATGTGCTCCACCTGCAGGCCAAGGACAAAACCTTCGAGGGGGCTGAGGAGATGGGACGGAGTAGGTGTGTCTGGCAGTCCACGTCAAGTGCTCCCCTGACTCCGTGTGCTGCCGGTACTGCTGCAGTGCTGCTGCTGGAGGGCCAGCCCGGTATTCACAGTGGGCTATGCAGCCCCTGCTGCTGAATGCTGTCGGTCCCCATGCAGTCACGCTGCCATAGGTTCGCCACCACTGGCAAGGAATGAATGTTGAAACAAACAAAAATGGATTATGTTCCTGCCTACTTCATAAACAGGGACTTAGGTATGTCAAAAGAAATACAGAAGGGAACAGACTAATTCAGAAGAGATAAGATTGAGAATATCAGTGGCTGGGTATGAACAAATGGAGACTGAAAACAACAATGTGACTGGTACAAAAGAAATAAGATTATTTGACCACACAGCTATAAGGAATAACTAATCACTAAAAATAAATGAAGAAAGAGAAAATGAGTTCAGAGGAAATGAAACACTGAGAAAGTTGCGGTTAGAAGAAATTGAGATCATCAGAAAAGTTTGAAGATCAAAAGTTAATATGTAAATGGACATGATGGAAGCAAAAATGATTTGCATGGACAGAAAGATGTAGAGAAGAACAATGAATGGTATTGATTTAAAATGAATTTGGTTGGGTTTTATTTTATCTCCTTCCCTTACTTTTTTTTCCTTGTTATTGCTTTTTTATGTATTTTGTATAATCTTACCTCTTTAAAAAAGGGAAAAAATGTAAGTACTGTAGTATATATGTAATACTGATCTAGGATTCTGAGGAAAAAAAATACTAAAATAAATTATAATAGACTTACCTTTTGGATAATCCTCCAATAAAAGGTTGAAGTGACCTAACTGGCAAAAGAAATCTGATTCAACTTTTCCTTCTGCTTTTAATATTAACGATTCATAGCAGCCAACAGCCTGGAAAAAAAAAGGATATTCTTTATAAATATACTCTAACATATACTTTAAAATTGACTTTTGTTGCAAAGCTAAGAAGCAATCCCACATTTTGTCATCTTACATAATATTAGTTTTTCTTCTAGGGAAATATATATGTCCTAATTTTACTGCTATGATGATGATACAATTATGTTTAATTTTCATTTTAAAATTAAGTATTATTTTGCTTTGTTACATGCATCATTTCCATTCTGTTAATAAAATAACCTAATCATATCATATATTTCAATAATTATTAAATATTAAGATGATAGTTTAGTTTAATACAATACAAGGTATTAGTATTAGTCACTTCTCTATAAGAACAATTCTGCTGTAGCAGAAATTATAAATGAAACAGTAAATGTTATTTTAGCATTAAATACCACACAGTTCTGGCACAACATATTTTATGAAACTAGAAAAATTGAATTTTAAATATACTAGCTTCAGATTCATGTACGTGAGAAGTATCTTTTTATAAGCCATATCTAAAACTGTAAGAGAAGTGACTTTGTGAAATATCGTAGGATCATTTGCCTCTCAAATTTGTAAAAATTTAGATGAGAATGAAGAACAGAGGAATGAGGAAAAAAAATCCATCAATATTTCTGTGCAGTAACATGCCTATGCTTGCATTCTGAAAATTTCTATCTACTTTTGCTAATTAATAGAATGTGTTGCATTGTATGTACTATATTAATTAGGAAACATTTTTGATTGAAAGAAAAAAGTGATTTAATTATATGAACATAGAGGATTGAACAAAATTTACAGTGGCATTCACTTTGCTATTTTTGTCTCTTTCTTTCCCCAAATTTGTTAGAATGCACTTTTAGTTTTTATCCTACTCTTTGTCCTTTCTTGTATCAACTTCTCCTTCCACAAGATGTTTTGAATGCATGTATGTTAGAATTAGATATGCTGTTTGGCCAAATATATTCTCAGCACTCAACAGCATTAACAAATAATAATTAATAATACTTGAGTATCTTCCTCTTGCACGCATCTAATATTTGATTAAAAGCATAAAGGTGCTTTTTCCATAAGCATATGGAAATGGGGGGAAATGCTGTAGATAACAGTCCTTTGTATTAAAAAAAAGTGGGACCTAAGCTTGACGGATATAAGTTGGCAATATCAGCAGTTACATGAGAAAAAAAGAAGCAAATGACAGAAGAAGCATTACTACACAGATTAAAATACTCGTATGTAAAACTACTTGCACTGCTCTATCATGTTTGTTTTATGAATACTAAACTGAATACTGTCTGACTTATGACAAAACTTTCAATATGAAAAATAAACTGCCTATCTTGAAAATGAAATCAATATTACATTTAACAAAAATACTTCAATGCTGAAAACAGTATTTGCAATACAATCATCACATTGAAGATTTAAAAAAATCACCAGTCTACATCTGTAATTACACTAAACTATAGTCAAACCTATGTCTCAGTTTTCTGAATCATTTCGTCATAGCTGAAGGTTAGCAGTTTAAATGTCCAGATTTAATTTTAATAATTACCAATTTCCTCCCCCTTGAAATTAACTGTCAGAGTGTATTGGTTTGATAAGAAGAAACAGAGATGTAACTGTCTGATTTTAACATTGAGCGTTGATAAGGGAGGAATTCTTTCTTCTAAGACAGGAGTCCTCAACCTGTGGCCCGCGGCCCACTACTGGGCCATGGCCTGCTGGACAGGCTGGTCACTCACCCTCACTCACAGCAGCCTGGTAAAAATGAGGCACTGTGCAACTTAAACGGGGTGCTGCAAGGCAAAAATGGGGTGGTGCTAGCGGCCATGCAGCAAAAACGGGGTAGGGCTAGCGAGTGTCATGTGGGCACTCACAGTTGTCTAACTGCTTCTGCAAATTTTGACCAGAAAAAAGAACTCAAATATAAGCCTTTGCTACCTCTGTCTTAAATAACGTTAAGTAAAAAAATCATACATTGAACATTGAAACAAGTGTTCAATTAATGTTGAAACAAGTTCAAACGCTAGTAGACATATCAGGGCAAACCTACTGGACAAACTATATCAGTTAATTTTCATCATATGCAAATCACCATTACATTTGATAAGTTTGGTATATGAATATTACAGTACATAGAAAACCCTAGATGATAAAAGACACTGATTAATTTTAGAAATTAATTTTAAGGTTAATATACATACATATGTTATTTATTATCAACCTGGTTATTATGTAACAAAAAAAAATTAAAATTGACTTTAAAATAATTTTAACAACTAATTCATGTTACTGGCCAGAATATGTCATCTTAAAAGCAACCTGGAGCGTTTCTAGAAGGAAGATATTTAAAGCCCCTTGGTTAATACAGCAAATCTCTTCTGACTAATTAAAACAAGCCAAAAGCAACAAGGAACAGTTTTATAAGTGTCTGACCAAAAAAGTTCAGCTATCAAATTTCTCTAACTAAAACTGGATTCAATTGTCATTTGATCAATAAGTTACAAATTATAAGAAGTCCAATGAACATTTGGAGCAATACACGTTGCTCCAAATTTATAAGTGAATGAAATTTTTCATTCTTTGCTATTAAGTAAGAAAAAAAAAGAGCTATAGCCTTATTTATTCAGGAAGAAAGCTCCCGTCAATGTCATTTGCTTTTTAATGTCATAGTTTGAGAACACATTTGCAAATTATGAATTGAAACAAATGCACATTACAATTAGATGAATAGAAATTTGAAGGGGGGAAATGTAATGAACAATATCATAAAAACTATCAGGAGCAAAAGGCTAGGACAGTGGTGGCGAACCTATGGCACAGGTGCCAGAGGTGGCACTCACAGCCCTCTCTGTGGGCACGCGCACCATTGCCCCAGTCCTAGGCCTTCAGTTGGGTTTTATAAAACCTTTTTGCTTTAGGCCTCCGCTGCCGTGTGCAAAAAAAAAAAAAAAAAGGTTCAATCAGTCAATTTCAACTTCTTGTGGAAAAAAAAAAGATCTTGCAAAGTTGGAATTGATTGATTGAACTTTTTAGTCCCACTCAGTCTGCCGTTACCATCGCAGCCATGCCCAGCCAATTGGCCATGCCCACCCAACTGGCCACACCCAGCCAATGGGCCACACCCACCCGGCACTCGACGATGCATAAGTGGGTTTTGGGTTGCAGTTTGGGCACTCAGTCTCTAAAAGGTTCGCCATCACTGGGCTAGGACATAGGTTTAGTTCCAATTAAACTGACTTATTACTATTGATGTCTATGCAGAGGAATCTACTCAATTAATGGATTAGCACTATTTTGACATTAGATAAGATAAATGGAATTCAAGAGGGGGTTGGACTTAATCCATTTGTGGCTATGGAGAAACTCTTAGCCTAATTAATCTTTTGACTCCATCCCCAGATTCTGCCACTCCTTCTCCTGCAAAAACTCCTGAAAGTATGTCTAAATAATTGTCATTGTTTGCCTCATTTTAATTTTATTCTGTAACTCACTCAGAGCTCTGCTAAAAAGTACAAGCCAAAAGACCTGAACTGTAAATAAATTATGGTATTGGAAAAAGTACATTTAAAGAACAATCAACAGAAACATGCAATCTCATATGCTATCTTCTTAGCTCTCCTACTTTCATGGTTCCCAAACTTGTACATCATGACAAATTATACTTAATATAAAGATAAATATATTAAATAAAAAACAATTTCAATTCATGCCCTCTTATTCTTATTTATCATTTCATAATTATAATTGATCTTTCTAATAATGATGTGGATAATGTCTGAAGTGATGCTATATTTTACTCACTGTTATTACACTATTATAGATAAATGGACCTTACTATGTACAAAGAGAACACACGGGAATCGTGTCACCACAATAACTTATTTGTTTTGTTTCCATTCAGCCTGGAAAAACAGGAACAGAAAAGAAGACTCTTCAGAGAGAACGATGTACAGTAACTAAATATTCTCCTTCACAAGCAATTTTACTGTACATCCTAATGTCTGAATTGTTCTCACAATTTAGATCTTCAGCCATTAATGCCAGAAAAGTACAGTTATACAAATTATATTCTTGAATACAACTGAGTCAACTCCATAACTTCAACTTATTAATAGTTAAAATACTAAATACTACTATATGTAATAATTCTAATTATTACAATTAGTAATAATTGCTAAATGAGAACCAGAAATTGATGGTGTATTATGTACAGTTGCAAGGATGCAAGGGAGGTACAGCAAGCTCAAGGAGGGTACAAGGGAGACAACTCGAGAAGATGCACAAGGGTGATGCCGTGAGAGTCAGGGAGGCATGGTAAGGATTTTCAATTTGAAAATCCCAATTTAAAGTTCAGAAATTTTCTCATTCAACACAGAGTATTTCATATTCATGTCTTTCATTCATTTGGGAAACAAATAATTTTGAATATGTTCTTTACATACTGTTAAAATGAATGGGAAGAAAAAAAGCAAATATTGTTGAATCAAAGGAGTTTTAAAAACAAAGCATGTAAACCGGAATGAATTCAAAACATTTGGGGCATGCCTACTCCTCATAGTGATGAAGTACTTCACATTACTCATTATGTGATGATTTGCAGGGAGACATGGGGTTGTCCTACATAACAGTTGTTTCAGAATGTTCTGGAAAGATAAATGGAATAGTCATAAAACCCCATAATTGTCATGCACAAGAAACATAACATTAATTGCAAAGTTAGTGCTTCTTTTTAATATTCCTCCGAATATTGTGTAAAAAGCTTTAGATACATTATTAAAAATCTCAAGAAAAAGTTGGCTATTCTCTTTTACTGCTTCCAGGCACTACAATTCAGGAAGCATATACAAGTTACTTAGATAAGGTGCATCTATTTGTGATCAGCTTAATACAGCTTATCTAAAAGAAACTTCAATAGTCAAGCAAGAAGCTAGGAATAGACAACAAGGTCAACTATTATGAATAAATATGGCAATCTTCCACAGAATTCTGCACAAAAC